CCATACAATATTGGGGACATACGCATGCTGAAAAGTTATTTGCTGTTTATCTGGAACTCAGCTTTTTAACGGGGTGACCTGTGTTTTGTCTGATAACGCTACTTAGGTCACACATCTTATAAGTGGTGGAGCTAAGATTCATAGTGAGGTGGGGCTGACCCCGAAGCTTATGTTTTTCCCCCCTGCTGGGTACAGCACTAACAAAAGGGTTTTGGGGGCATTCTCTCACCAGGGCCGCAGAGGGTGCTGCCCGACAGCAGAGCCCATGAGGATCATCTGGGCAGCTTTGGAAACATATTGATGCCTGGGTGCCACCAAAATTAGCCTGGGCATGGCTAATTTTTGTATTTTTAGTAGAGATGGGGTTTCACCATGTTGATCAGGCTGGTCTCGACCTCCTGACTTCGTGATCCACCCACCTTGACCTCCCAAAGTGCTGGGATTACAGGTGTGAGCCACCGCACCCGGGCTCTTTCTGGATTCTTAATGTGGCTCCAGGCCAATTACATCAGGGTCCCTGTTAGACACTCTCTCCTTCCCCTCACTTCCCTTTTAAAGCTGCAGGTGAGTGTAACATGCACCCAGGGCCGAGGATCACTGGCCTGGGCTGCCAGCTCTCGTTGTTCATGAATCTGGGAAGGAATAAACCCAGGGGGAAGGCAGGGAGCACAGGCTTCCGGAGGGGCTGGTATCACCTCTCCTTTCAGCACCCTGGCGGGTCCTTGCCTCCAGCAGGCCCAGGTTCAGCCTGGCCCACGGGCTCTGCCCCAAACTGCCTGCATGCTAGGCTCCTTCACAGCCTTTACCAGTCCCTCTACTTGGAATGCCCTTGTCAGCCTGGTTTTGCCCATCTGGCTGGCTCCTCCTGTTCCTTCTGAAGGTCCCACGCACATCACCTCTCTCTCGAGTCTGCCCTGACCCCACAGCAGGGCTGGTCACCCCATCCTTCACTGAGCCGTGGCACAGGCTTCAGGAGGAGCCCTCTGCTAGCAGAAGTGAGCAAGGGTCGGCTCCCCCACTTCACTGCTCGCTCAGTACTTCTCCACGTCCGAAGGCAGTGCCTGGCGTGGCGTAGGCACTTGGCATATGGGCGTTGAATTGAAGGAAGGAGGAAGGAAGGATTTTGTTGGGGGCATAAGGTCCTGTCTTTCCTCCTCACCCTATTGGCCCTGGAGGGATCCCCCTTTTTCCCCCTACTCCCCTTCCTGCTTGGCACCTAAGTTCTGTTTGCCTGGAGCGTTGGCTCTTTGCAGCCCAAAGGTAAACAGGTTTATAACAACTTTAGAGAAAAAGGAAAAAAAAAAGCCAGTGAGCCAGGAAGTCATGCAGTTCCAGCTTCAGGGCTGGGGAGGTGGACAAAGGCCCCAGTGGCAAACCCAGAGCCTGGGACCCAAGCGCCAGCAACGAGGAGCTGAGCCTCTGCTTTCCAGAACTTCACTCTGGATAAACAAGGAAGTGAGGTGTGCTGCCTCCTCCCTTCTGAAATAGGGCAAGGGAGGCGGAGGGGGAGTGAGGACCCTGGTTAGGAGAGGGAGCCCGGGGTACCTGCTCTATGGCAATAATAGAAAGGCTTTTTAAAAATTGTGACACGGTTGACCGTCTGGACCATGAGCATTCAGTTCTGTGGTGTCAAGTACGTTTACATTGCTGTGCCACTGTCACCACCATTTATCCACAGAACTCTGAATCTGGCAAAAGGAGAATGGCTTTATAAAGCTTCATATTTTATCCTGTGGAAAATGTATACCAAGAGGCTTTTTTTTTGAGACAGAGTCTTGCTCTGTTGCCCAGGCTGAAGTGCAGTGGTGCGATCTTGGCTCACTGCAACCTCCGCCTCCTGGGTTCAAGCGATTCCCCTGCCTCCTGAGTAGCTGGGACTACAGGCATCTGCCACCACCCCCCGATAGTTTTTCTATTTTTAGTAGAGATGGGGTTTCGCCATGTTAGCCAGGCTGGTCTCAAACTCCTGACCTCAGGCAATCCGCCGTCCCTGGCCTCCCAAAGTGCTGGGATTACAGGTGTGAGTCACCACGCCCCGTTCCCAGAGGCTATTTTATATCAATAGCTGGTGACACAGATGAAGAAGAGATTCCCCTGCCTGTGGGAAGCTCCCACGGTTGTGGGGCAGGCAGTCCCAGGACAGAGAGGCCCATGGAGCCAGGGAAGGCTGTACGAGGCAGGATGGTGAGGCGGAGGATGGCGAGGCACAGCTGCAGATGTTCCAGAGGGCGCACGCTCCAGGCTCAGCTCCGAACAGGACACCGGGGATGTGCGTGCATGCTGCGGTCATACATGGATCTATTCATGTCACCGTGAACATGGCAGGGGGCTGTGAGAGGAGTGTCACGATCCTCCAGGAAGTTTGGAAAATAGAAAAAGATCGCCTGTTCTACAGCCGCCATGCCGTTTCCTCTGTCCTTCAATCTCTTGCCTCACGCACATATTTCCACTTGATCACAGCCCAGTGGCAGAGAAGATAACATTTTCCTCTCTGTCCTCCTCACCTTACATCACAGTAAACACTTTTCCGTGTTGCACCCAGGCTTCCAAATGTCTACGAATAACCCTGCTTTGTCCAGGGAGGCTGTCCGCCATGAATTCCCCTCCAAGCGGCAGGGTGGGTGTGGAAGTGGCTGCATCTGGGGCCAGAGGGCGGGTTCAGCTGGGTGGGCTGAACTGTAGGAGTGAGGAGGGACGCTTTGGCAGTTTGAGGGCATCTATTTGGAGCAAGGTCATGGATGGTGGAGGCCGAGACTGTTTAGGTGGCATCTTGGAGTCACTGCAGTGCATTCACAGGTGTTCTTCTCTGGGTCCTGTATCAATGGAGGGTAACTAAGGCCCTCATCTGGTTGCAAATGGAACCCAGGTGTGGACCGTTCTAGCCTGTAGCCTTTGGACACTAGAGGTGACCAGTGAATGTCTGGCACTGTGTGTCCATTGTCCCAGGGCTCTAGAGATGGAGCCTTACACAGGTCCTCTTACTGTCAGCACAGAGCCACTCCTGTCCCCCATGGAGCAGTGGGCAGGCAGGCAGGTCAGAGCTGCTCAGGGACTACAGGTGTGCGCTGCTAAGAGCCCTTGGTAAGGGGTGCAGAAGGTGTGTGGGGAGCTGACAGTGGCATCTTTGTGGTTTGCTTTAAATATACCTATTTGCTTTTGTTTTGCAAAGAAGCGTGTGACTTGTTAGGGAAAACTTGGAAGGTAGAGAAAAGTGCAAAGAGATGCAGGGAGGGACCTCCCATAACCTGACTGTCCAGAGACAGCCACTGTTAACATTTTCCTGTATTCTGTTTACATTTAAGAAAAAAAGTTAGTTTTTTAAGAAATGGGCTTGCTTTGTTGCCCAGGGTAGCTTCAAACTCCTGGTCTCCAGTGCTCCATCCACCTCAGCCTTCCAAGTGGCTGGGACCACAGGAACACACCACTGCACCTGGCTGTTCTGTTAAAAAATGCAGTTTTGTGTCCTGCCTTTTCTCCTCAGCATTACATAAATATTTTCCCGTGTCATTAACATTCTTCATAAACATTGTTTTTGATGGCTGTGTTCTATTCTGGCCTATGGATCTGCTAGGCTGACTTACTTCTTATTCTTAGCTTGTGAGTTGGACACCTGGCCTCCCAGGTGGGAGAAGGAGCCCCGGCTGGGAGGTGGGGTCTGCCCACATTGCAGGCCATGGCACTCTCACCCTGGCAGTCCTCTGTGCACGCCTGGCTGCCAGTCCTGTGGACATCCAGCGTTATCCATACCCCTCTTTGAGCTTCTGCAGCCCCGGGCATGAATTGAAGGCTCTTTCAGGAAGCCTTCTCTGGTCATCCAGCTTGGGGTGGCCAGTGGGTGTTTGCCATCCTCTCTGAACTCCCAAGAGTCTGATCCTTAGTACATGCTGCCCAGATGGCATGGTGGGATCGTCCCTGCCATGTTTGCCCTCTTTTTCTTGATGTCTTTGCAGAGTCTGGCTTTAGAGCAACACTTCGCCATTCACTAGCTGTGTGACCTTAGGCAAATTCCTCAACCTCTCTGAGTCTTGGTGTTTCTTCTGTAAAACAAGGGTGATAACAATGGACCATTTGTCTGGTTCTTGTGAAAACAGAAAGAGATTATGTGCCAGGTGCCAGTACTATGCCAGGGACACGTTGGGTGCTTGATAAGGGGTGGGGGTTATTCTGGGTGTCAGCGCTGGGGCTGTTCTCCTGCCATCTCCCCTTTCACCCACAGCGATGAGCAGCCCAGTGGGTAAAAGTTGACCAGAACTATAGTTGACTCAACTACAGTTGAGTGAACTATCTTTGCTCCCTTTTCTTCTGCCCACACTTTGGTTGGGGAAACTGAGGCCACCCTGAAGCTCCCACCTACACCTCATGACTTTCTCAGATCCCTGGAAGCTGGCTTAGGAAACGTCTTTGGAGATTTGGGAACACGCTGGATACATCAGTTGGTGAGCCAGGGAAATTAGCAGGAACGAGCTCATTTCGATAGCAATGAGCTGAGTCTCTCCCCAGCTGCCAGACATTTACGAGGCTGGCTGGGTGCCGGCGGCCGGAGGCCTCCAATGGCCCTCATCCCTCTGCCTTCCGGCTGGAAATAATTCGTGTTTAAAAAATAACAATAATAAAAAAAAAAAAAAATCTCCATCTCCTCTGGCCTTCTGGTTTCTTTGGGCCCAGGTGGGGAGATGGTGGATGCCTTTTCCCTGTAAGCAGCTCTCTGTTCAGGGCAGCTGGACAAGGAAGGCCATCCCTGACCCTCCCCAACCCTCCCTCACCTGCCAGAAGATTGGGCCATGAGGTGGATGGCTGAGGGGCTTTGCCTCAGAGGACCCCTCTGTAGCAGACCCTGCTCTTTATTAGGGAAGAATTGTTTGTATTTCGTTAGGTTCCTGAAGGAATTTTGGGACCTTTTCCTGCTCCCGGCCTCAGTTTCCCCATCTGAAAAATGAGGAGGAGGTTGGGAGGGAGGACATACAACTTATAGATCCAATGTTATATGAAAACTAGGGTCCTGGGGTTGGGCGTGTTCAGCCCTGACGGGGAACCATCATCCCTTGCAGCACATGTTAAATGCAGGTTCCCAGGCTCAGGCTCACTCATCAGAATCTCTAGGGTAGGGCCTCTGAGTGTGCATGTCTGGGGCAATTGAAAAAAATGGAGATTAAATTCACAGAACTCTATTTTGAAGTCCACAGTTCAGTGGTTTTTAGTATATTTGCGGCGTTCTGCAGCTTCACCATTCCCTCATTCAAATGCCCTGGGATTCCAGTTGCCGCTGGTCCCTCTGGGCAGCTCTTCAACTGCGCGTCCTGAGGCATTGACTTGGAGCCTTGTGTTCCCCGCTCTCCTGGTTGGGGTTTCCTGGTGACAGAATCAGGTTTTCAGGCCCTTTATGAGTTAAGATGAGAAGTTTCTGAGAGGAGGAAGCCAGACTGGGGGAGAGAGAGGACCCTGTTTCCCTGCGGCGTTCCAGGGCAGCAGAGGTCTTGCTGCCTTTCTTGGTCCCCAGTGCCCCACACCCTGTGAGCAGGGCAGTCACTTACTCAGAGCTAGTGACCCTTTAAGGTTCAGCATATGAAATTCTTGTGGCAGTTTGAGCATCTCACAGCCACAACGCAGGTAGTACAGTGGTGGCCCCGCACCCTGGAGAAGCCCATCTCCCCTTTCTCAGCCCACTTCCCACGGAGTCAGCATCCCCTCTCTGCCCTGAGCACGTGACCTTCCTCTGGCTGCCAGGGGCTGAGCCTCTGGTTGTCATAATCCCACCAATGTTTGATTTTTTTGCCCAATGCTCCTGCCCTGGCTGAGCGTATGTCTGGTGGTCTTGGCCAGGACACTCCCCCTTGAATCTTCCCGGCAGTGAAACTCTATACAAGATCCTCTGCAGCCCCAATGTTTGTGGTCCTGAGGTCCCATGGGGTCCAGCCAGCCCCTCTGGGTAGTAATTGGTAGATCTGAAAATGGGAGTCAGCCACAGTTGACCCCTTTTTTTGGAAGGAGTGGCTGATTGGCTATGCTCCCCCTCATAGTGAAGCTTGTGGCTCTCAGGGTCACCACCAGCATTTCTGACCCTGTCCACAGTCAGCATCCATTCCCGGGCCCCGAGCTGTCCTTAAGGAAGCCAGGGAGGGAAATCAGGGAAGGAAGTCAGGTTGGTGGCCGTTCCCTTTGCTTGGACTGTCCGCTGTGCTCCCTGGCCTGAGGCCTGGCTTTGTTTCTGGGTTTGAGTGCCCTTACAGGGTTCTTCCCTGAATCTTCAGCCTGGGAATCTTTTCCCTGGAGTCCCCCACCTTGAGCCCAGCATTCCAGAACAGCTGCCCTCCCACGGTTAGCATGTGGTGACGGTCCATGCCATGACCATGTGACCATTCCCTCTGTGGGCCTCAATTTCCCTCTCTGTCAAACAACAGGGCCTTTATAGCCCTGTCCCGCCATGTGTCACTCTACTCTTGATGTGGCAGCTGCCCAGGGAAGGTGGAGTGAACGGATGGACACTCCCACCAGCCAGAGACCCTCCAGTGCCTTATTCCTGGTGCGATCCTGAGAGCTCCCTGCAGTTTGCAGTGAGAGAGTGGCAGTTTTCTTTCTGAGAAAGAGGGTGGTTCTGGGCTGAGCAGTTATTTCCCAGGGCACCCCCAACGAGCCAATCTCACAAGGCTGACTTGGACTACATTCTCTTGGAATGGCTGGGCTTGAATCATGAGCAGGGGCCTCTGGGTTGGCATGGAGTCAGTTTCTGCATCTGTAAAATGGGTATATACCTGAAAAAGCTTTTGTGAATGTGAATGAGATCATGCATGCCCACACGGGTGCAGGTGTAATCCTCCTAGGTATCATCATCACGGATGCCCTCATTATACAGAAAAGAGGCTCTCAAAGACATTACATGGCTTGTTCAGCCAGCCAGTTAGTGAAGGGGCTGGGCCCAAACCCTACCTCAATAGCATTCCCTCTTTCATTTTTTTTAAAGATAATACATGATTCATGCAGATCATTTAGAAAACAAGAAAAGCACAAAGGAAAATCAAATTACCCTTAAATCACCCTAAAATAAAATAGTAATTATTATTAAAATTATCTGGATGTTATTTTTCATGTCATCCTCTTTCTTAGCAAAATATGGGAAGTAGAAATGGTCTCCATGTAGCCAAATGAAAAAGTTCATACAGCTGTTTTGTAGCTCTTTTCTCTTAGCAATGCTGAAGCCATGTCCTCAGTTCAACACATAGTCTGATTTTTCATGACTGCTTAGTATTCCATGTCATGGTTGTGCCGGATTTTCTTAACCAATCCCCCAGGGCTAGATATTTAGGTTGTTGCAGTGACTTTAAAAAAAAAAAAAAAAAAAAAAAAAACCTATCATAAAATCATAAAACATGGCCACTTGGCGAGCATCGTATGTCTTTGTGCACGTCACTGGTGATTTCCTTAGAATATGTTCTTAGAAGTGGGATTGCCAGGTCAAAGGCTACACACATCTAAGGTCAGAGTGCCCTCCGGAAAGGCCGTATCCGTTTTCTCTCAGCAGCGCTAGAGGAGAGGGCCCGGATCCTGTAACTCACAACCCTTTTCTATTTCCAAACCACGAGCCCAGAAAGAGTCGAAAAAAACAAAAACCACGGCTCTGGGAGCGACTTCCTGCCAGAGGAAGGGAGGCATTTGGCAAATAGTCTGCTCCCAGTTTTTGAGTGAATGCTGTGTGGCCCGCATCGGGCCAGGCCATCTGGAACAGACTGAAGAGTAGAGACCAGGTCTGTGTCCTCAGCTGGCTTCCATGTGCCTCGAGGGGGAGGACAATGCATGTCGGGACACCTGACAAACACCTTAAAGACCACTGGGTCCCAGGTCCAGGCTGAGGGTGGGGCCATGGCCACCATGTCCACTCCATCCACCTCCATCCCTGTCACCTGCTCAGGGCCACGCAGACTAGATGTGCAATGAGTATTTGTTGAACAGCAAAAAGCAGTGTGCTACCCACAGAAGATGACTGTGAACTCCTTGAAGTAAGGTTTGAGTCTTGTTCATGACTGGCTACACTCCCGAAGCCTAGAACCTCATCATTGTCATAAATACTGGCCAAGTGAACAAAGGCTCTATGGGACCGGAGAATCCAAGAAGGTTGGTGGAGTGGTCTGGATCCCAGCAGGAAAGTGGGATGAGCCAGCTTGCTGCCCAGAGCCCTCACCGTCAGCCCCTCTAGTAGGTGCCAGGAAGCACTGGGTGGAGAGTCTGGGCCTGATTTCATGTCCCCCGCTCCTATGGGACCTGGGCAATGGCCTCACTGAGCCTCAGTTTTCTTAAGGGACTAGACTTTGTTTTTGGGGGCTCCCTTCTGGTTCTTGCCAAGAATCTGGGTGCCTGTGGTCAAGATGGGGGCTGAGAGAGGGCTGGTTGGCAGAATTTGGCCCTACACGTCCAACCTACGACCAGGTGACCTCTGGCCAGAGGATAACTGCTTTCCAGCCCAGGACCCTGCCCTCCCCAAAACCTCTAAGCAGGACCCTCCTAGGTGGCTGGTGGCACCCCCAGGAGGTATGGAAATAAGGTGACCCCGCTCTGGCTGCCTCTCTGTTTTGAGTAAGGTTGTGGATTGTTTATTTGAGAGAAGAGGGGCCCCAGCCACACATCCTGCTTTTAAAATCTGCAGCTCTAGTCGAGCCCTCTAAGCCTTGAGCCCCACACCCGCTCCCTTCCCCCAGGCCCCTCTTTCACAGCGCCCCCACCCCAGCTGGCATACCTTCTGCCCCTACCCTGCTTCCTGGGCCGGCTTTTAATAGCTCTCAGTGGCCTTCTCCCTCCTGTTCCTGTAAACGCCCCTTCCCCACAGGCCCAGGGGAAAAGACCTTCCTACTCCTGGAGGACACTTTTACTTTGGCAAAAACACGCGTCTTAGACTTTTCCTGGTATTTCGGTGATCTGAGTACTGTGAATCTACTTTGTTGACGAGGACACCAAGTGTCAGAAAAGTGCTGCTGCTTGTTCAGGGCATGTAGGACTGCAGTGGCCTGGCATAAGACTCAGAGTTAGGCTCCAGCCCAAACTCTGCTTCCGGCTTGCTGTGTGACCTTGGACAAGTCCCTTTCCCTCTCTGGGCCTCAGCAGGCTCACCCACAGAGTGAACAGGTGGGTGGTAGATGCTCTTTGAGTTCTTTCCCCCTCTCTTTCTCTGTCTTCATGAGAACACACCGTGTCAAGTGAGGAGGCCGCCTGCCGTTTCTCCGTTTTCTCCTGAAGCCCTGTGGTACCCCCACCCCTCCCTTGTCCCCACTGCCCACAGCCAGTTAAGAGTCAGAGACAAAGCCCTGCTGCAGGCAGAAAGTGTGGCCAGTGGGGATGTGTGCTAGGGCCTGGCTGGCAGTCCCTGATAAGCGGCCGAGGCTCCCCGAGAATCAGTGCTGGGGGTGGGGGGCACGGAGCGGGCTGGCACTGGGCTCACCAGCCTCTCTGTCCATCCCTTCTGGGGCCTCCCCAAGCCCTCAGATACAGGTGAGGGAAGGTTTCTTGATAAATGGTAGATTTGCTGAAAGGGACACAGCAGCCATGCAGCTTCAGTGACTCTTGTCCTATTAATCCTTTGTGAAGTGGGGGTTTCCTGGCCCCAGCAAAGCTGGAGCCCTCAAAAGGCTGCCCGACCCGTAGGCTCTCCTCCTCTCTCATGTGGGGCATGTGGGGCATGTGGGCTGGGACGTGCGGTTTAAAGTCTGGAAGTTAAAGGTCTCCCTCCTCTGCGAGCCAGCTCTTTGTTCCACATCCTCAAGGACCCTGACTTCAGCCTATTGTTCCCCCTGCTGACACAGAGGCTCCAAGTTCCTCTCTGGGTTTGCACTAGGGTGGGGCGGGGGTCCTGCTGTGGGTGGTGGGGGCTGGGGAATCTGGGCTTATCTGCTCATTAAAAGTCACTGGCTCGTTCAGAGAAAAATGCTGTTTTGAGACACCCTCTTGCGTGTGGGAGGCTGAGACAGTGACTGCTGAGGTTTGGGTATTCTGAGTTTTGTCAAGCTGAGGCCTGGCCACTTCTGGCTGTGGCTGATTTTGTGTCCTCGGTGGACGTGATAATCAAACTGCTCAGCTGACCAGGCGGGGCGAGGTTGGATTTGACAGCAGGCGGCGGAGGTAGTGCAGGGGGCTCGCTTCTGGACTGGAACTTACAGTGGCCCACAAGTGAATCCAGCAAGTCCCCCCCCTCCATGGGATTCCCAGACCCTTCAACTCAGAGTTGACCGTGGGGGAAGAACTGAATCCCCCAGAGTTGGGGGCGCGATCCAGGGCTCCAAAGGGTTTATTGTGTTTTGCAGTATTAATAAGAGAAGAGTATGTTTGAGTGATTTTCTGGGGTACTGTGCTTTTGGTCATTTAGTATGTCAGTTCTTGCTATGATAGCACTAATGCATACAATTCTTTCTGGCTTGATTTTCATTTTACAAACATAATCCAACTAATCTAATTGATCCAATTTATCTTCCCTGAGAGGATCCAGCCAGAAGGACAGAAATTCTTGTGACAAGTGGGGACAATGAGGCATGGCCAGAGGTTGCATGGTTTGCCAAGCTTGCACGGCCAGGCCAGCGGGGTGGGACGTGGATGGGCCATGGGCCTCTGGCTGCCAAGGCCTGGCCGTCCCCCCGTACCTGCCCTTCTTCATGATCGCCTTACCTGCTGGTACTAAGGAGCCTGGCCTTGACTCGGACCCCCTTCGTCAGCAGGAGGCTCTGGCCAGACACTGCTTCCCTGTGTGGAGCAAAGCCTGCTCCTCCCGGCGGCTCTTCGCGGCCCTCGCCCTCTTCTGGGTGTTCCCTCTACGGTGTCGGGACGTCATGGTCAGGAGGGTGGGAGATGCTGATCGCAGAGCCTGCCTGGTTAGCACCACCCCTGTGCCTGCTGGCATTGCTACTTCTCACCGAAGCTGATTCACAGGGAGTTTTTAATACCAGGTTAGCCTTCCTCTGACACCGACTCCAAGTTTCCCCCCTAGTCATACCTACCTAGGATAATTGGAACATGAGAAGCGTTAATTTGATAGAGGTTGAACCAGACACCTGCCTTAGAATGCAGGGCCAATTCGAGTGACTTGGGGATTACTGGACATCAGGTATTCACTTCTGCTCCGGCCACCATTTCCTCAGGACTGACTGCAGCCATCTGTCCCACGTGGGAACCCTTAATCCCTCCCATTCTCGCCCCTGCAGAGATGGCCTGAAGTCTTCCCTAAGAGCCCTTTGCACCCCACTTTTCCTTCCCCAGCACACGGCCACCCCCATGCCCTAACTTGCCCCATTGTAGCCAGACCCCTCCTTCCAATCATGAGCCTCCCTGGGCTCCATAAATCACCCTAAGAGCACATTCCTTGGGGGATTTGTAAAATAATCAAAATATTTGGGGAAAAGACCTTAAGATTACTTATGGCTATTAGTGGGATCCATATATTTTGGCACCAAGCATGGCTTAATTGAAAAAATATGTGTGCTTGGTGATTTCTTTCTTCCCTTTTTTTAAATAAGGAGTAGGCCCAGAGAGAAGACTGGTTAGGCAAAAAAATAGGGAGGAATTCAATATCAAAAGAGTTTGTGTGGAGGAGCTGTTTACAGAATCGTGGAAAATATAATGCTAAATGGAAAGTAAGCCTGCCTATGTAAGTCCAGGATTATTAATAGGGCCTGGTTACCATGCACATAATGAAGCTTTTAAGAGACCTGGGACAAGTTTCCCCTTTGCAAAACAAGTTTCCTTCAAATAGCACCATTCACGCAGCAAAGGGCATTGGGTTACAACAATAAATAAAAATGAACAGTGCCCTGAGAAATTCAAGGAATGCACAAACGTTTCAGTGATTTAGTATGAGAAAACACTATTTAAACATTTAATTGAATTGCATACTTTCATCTTTAAAACGTTAGCGTTTGAACTGCCACCTGAATCTCCCTCTCTTCACTTCATTAGATTGCAAGGCCCTTTCAGGGGAGGGAGCTGCTATTCTCCTGTCCTTCCCCAGGCTGTTCCCCTTCCCTGCTGTTCCTTAACTTGCTTTTTTGCCCAACACGATCAGGAAAAGGAGACTCGACGGGAGTTTCCTTTTAAAGCTATAGGGAGAGACTTACAGGGGATGTGTTTTTCAAAATATTTAATTTGTCAGGACTTGATGTGAGCTGTGGATTCCTGGGTCAGTCACCACCCTCCCTGAGACTCAGTTTCTCCTCTGTTAAATCAGGAATTCAGGTTAGAACCCCAGGAGAACTTTGTCAACAGTACACGTGCCCAGTGCCCAGTCTAATTCAGTCAGTTGCCCAGGAGCTTCTGTGTGCCTTCTTGGTTAAAAATTACTGGAGTGGGCTGGGTGTGGTGGCTCATACCTGTAATCCCAGCACTTTGGGAGGCTGAGATGGGCAGATTGCTTGAGCACAGGAGTTCAAGACCAGCCTAGGCAACATGGCAAAACCTCATGTCTACAAAAAATACAAAAATTGGTAATCCCAGCACTTTGGGAGACTGAGGTGGGCCAATCATGAGGCCAAGAGTTCGAGACCAGTCTGGCCAATATGGTGAAACCCCATCGTTTCTACTAAAAATACAAAAATTAGCCGGGCATGGTGGTGGGTGCCTGTAATCCCAGCTTCTCAGGAGGCTGAGGCAGAAGAATCGCTTGAACCTGAGAGGCGGAGGCCTCTGTGAGGCGAGATCATGCCATTGCACTCCAGCCTGGACAACAAGAACAAAACTCCATCTCAGAAAAAAAAAAAGCAAAACAGAAACAAAAATTAGCTGGGCATGTTGGCCTGCCCCTACCCAGGAGGCTGAGATGGCGGCAGAGTGGAGCCCAGAGGGTTGGAGGCTGCAGTGAGATATGATAGCTCCGCTGTACTCCAGCCTGGGTGACGGAGATCCTATCTCAAAACAACCAAAAAATGTGCTGGAGTGGAAACTCCACAGGGCCCTTGCAGGTCTAGGAAACTAGGGGGCAGAGACACAGTGATCACTGGGCACTCCCTGTGCCCGGTGAGCTCAGTGCATGGTGGAAGGTGTCTGGCTGAATCCTCCTGGGCCTAGGGACTCCGTGATTCTAATCTTGGCTGATACCTGCCCAAGGAGGCCTGACCCCTGTGGCACCCCCTTCTGTATGCTGGAATCAAGCATTATGCGTGGACAGTTGTTCAAAGTTGCTGGGACAGTGGAGCCTATTGACAGATTGGATTGGGCTCTAAAGAGGGAAAGGGAAGATCAGGTGTCCTCAGCACGTTTTCCAGTCTTGGCGAGGATTTGTCCTTCGAGGTTCATGTGTACACATGGGAAGCACACACAGCCGTCACAGACACATTCTTTCCTCAGAGATTAACCAGTGGCCCTGTATTGATTGCCGGCTTACCCTGTGGGCTGCCGTGGGGGACGCAGGGAGGCTTATTTGCAACCCTGCCCTGGAATGGCTTGAAATCTGTTTTTATAGGCAGCAGAGCAATGTGACCTTGGGCCAGTCACCGCTGAGTAAGACAGAGACATCAAATCTAGATGCCTAGGAAAGCCCCCTTGGTACCAAACCCCTTTTTCTTTGTGGGTGTCTTCATAAACTGTTGCATATCTTAGCTCCCAGTTAGGCTGGGGGTACCTTGAGGACAAGGGCAAGTGTCCTGTATTTTCAGAAGATAGGGACATTCCGTGTGGCCAGTGAATGCTCATTGAATGACTCATCCAATTCATTTTGCCCCATTTAAGGGAACCTCCTCTGAGCCCAGCCCTGGTGCTCAGTGTGGGGTACAAAGCAGATAGGACCTAAGCCTTGTTCTCACAGTGCTTCCCATCTTTGAGGGACTTGGGCTTGACTATGGTTTAATTTATTTGGTGCCAAGAGGTGGTTTTCTTAGTTTGAGTGTCCTGAGGAGCAGATCTCGCACCAAAAATGCGAGCGCACAGTTTATCGAGGCAGGGGGGTTTACCCAGGAAACAGCAGCTAGGAGAATGCTGGGAAGGGAAGAGAAGGGGCTAGTGCAGGCAGCATTACCAAGCCAGCTGCTTCTGCGGGCAGCTGGAGCCGAATCCTGCTGGGAACTTAGGGAAGCAGTGCAGAACTCACCCCAGCTATCCTCTCTGAGGGCCAAGGGAGCTGGGGTATTAACCCACCACTCCTGGCGCATCTGTTCCTGGCACTTCCCAGCACTCAGGCAGAACAAGGCCCTTGCAGGCAGGGTGGGTCCCAGAACAAAAGCAGGTGTTGGCATTTGCGTGGAGTTGGTGGGGGCCAAGGGGATGTGAGCAGAGCACCGCAGAAGTGTCTGCTGGGCCTCCACGTGCCAGACCGAGAGTAACCCAGACTCCCCCATCCCCCACACTGGTCTCCTAGAGGAGTAGTTTGTTCTAAGGAAAGGGGCACCCAGCAAGCCCCTGCCCTTTGGAAAACAAAGACGGAGAAGGCCCTGTGCCTGAGGTTCTCTGGGTAAAAGCAATTTGCAAAATGCTGAGTCTTATTCTGCAGGAAGTCAGAGGGTGATGGTGGTGATCATCTTCGCTTAGAGGGCTCAGACCTAAAGCCTTTACCCCCTATTCCAGAGTCTGAAGGTGGGGCCAGTCCCAGCTTGGCCTCTTGGTAGCCAGTGGCCTTGGAGAAGCTGTTGAACCTACTTCCCCACCGACTGTGAGCCTTGAATGGTAGTCCATGAACAGTGCCTGGTGTGAGTGCATAGTGGATGCCCAGGACTATTCATTCTCTTTCCCTTCCCTTCCTGGCCAATAGCGCATGTCCTCCCATGGCCCTCACATCAGGCTGTGAGATGGCAGGCTGGATGGGTCTATCATGGCCTCTTCCACAATGGGAAACTGAGGCCCATAGGAACTAAGACCCAAAGTCCTGGCCTCCTGAGTCCCTAGTCTACACTGCTTTCCTGACGTGATAGGCCTGTGTCACGGTCAAAGCAAAGTGTGAAGCCAGTGGTGGGAGGAGTTGGCTGGCCATGCTCTGGCTATGGCCCTCACCCTGTCTTCGGTGGGTCATTGTGCCAGATGTTTGACTCACCAGAGCTTGGACGCCTGAGTTGTCCGCTCTACGCCCCCCCACACCTGCATAGTGCCAGGCACAGAGCAGGATGTCAGAGCTGGAGGGACTTTGGCGATTGGCCAGACCAAACCTTTGTTTTGTTGAGAAGAGGAAACAGTCTCAGAGACACCAGTGACTTCTCCAAGTCACACGGTGACTTAGTGACGGCCAGGATTAGAGGGCCAGCCTGCCTTTCCTCCTACTCCTTCCGTAGGAAGCTGCTATGTAAAGTATGTTTTATTATAGTTGCTTATAAACATAATAAAAATCCCCTCGTTTAATGGAACCCCTTCTTTTTCAGGCAGTTAATAATCCAGCTTTTCAGTTGCTCCTCAAGGAAACCATTGAGGGAGGTTGAAAGAGCATTGCCCACTTTCAAGCTGGAGCCATTGAGGCCCAGATTTTGGCGGGGGCCAGTACTGGCAGCTTTGCCTCTGTGCGGGCCCTCCCCACTTTCTGACACACCACAGATCTTGCTGGAGAGTCTCAGGGGAGAGAGCCCTGGGCTCATGCTCAGAAGATTCAGGTTCAAGGCCAGGTCTGGCATTGGCTCTCTGTGTGACTTTGGAAGGTGTTTTGAGTTCTTCCACTAGGATAGATGGTCTTGGGTCACTCTACCAGCTCTTGCCTCTGCTCTCAAAATGCTCACAGTTTGATGGAAGCAGACTCATAATTTAAAAATACATGCCTAGGGCTAGGTACAGTGGCTCCCACCTTGAATCCCAGCACTTTGGGAGGCTGAGGTGGGAGGATTACTGAGTCTGGGAGTTCAAGACCAGACTGGGCAACATAGTGAGACCCTGTGTCTACAGAAAAATTTTAAAATTAGCTGGGTGTGGTGGCACACACCTGCAACCCAGCTACTTAGGAGGCTGAAGTGGGGGGACTGCTTGAGCCCAGGAGTTCAAGGCTACAGTGAGCTATGACTGTGTCACTTCACTGCAGCCTGGCAGCAAAGTGAGTCCCCATCTCTTTTAAAAAAATTAAAAAGAAAATCCAGAAAGCTGTTATAAAGATCGGAACATTTTGCTGTAGGAACCCAGCAGAATTGTCTAGGTAAGTGTGGGAAGGCTTCACGGAGGAGGTGATGTTTAGTGCAGAGGACAGCAGGGCCATCCAGGGAGAAGGTGTAGGGGGACAGTCGTAGCATTTGCCAAAGGCGTACATGTGTTGCATGCTTTCAGTGTGCTGTCTTACTGAATCCTTGTGACATACAATCCTTGGAAAGTTGTAATTGTGTGTTAATTATTGCCATTTTGCAGGTGAAGTTGAAGGGCCCCAGAGAGGGGAGAAGGCTTGTTTGGGGCCTGGCAGCCCAGGTTTTAAAGCCCGTCTTCCTTCCTCTTCTCCGCAGCCTCCCAAGCATTTCCCACAAAGGCCCCTGAGGATTGATCAGAGCCTCCCAGCCCTTTTAGGATCTGGGATGTGGGAAAGGTGGTGGGTCCTGTAAGAGGGCGTGTCCAGGTAGGGTCCGGGACATCCCAGTGCCCATCCCACTTCCAGCAGCCCGTCACACCCCAGTCTGCCCTCCTGTCACCCCAGGCGCAGAGTTGTGGGCAGATATGAGTCCTTCTGCATCGGGTCATCTCCAAGAAGCCCCAGTGACACCTCCTTGTTCCTGTAACACTCAGCACTGCTGCTCAAGGCCTCATATCTTCTCCTGATCCCTCCTCCTGCCTCAGCTCCCTTGGGTGGCCTTTTGTAAGGGTCTTATTTCTGGGCCTGAGTCCATTCTGCAGGTGGAGAAACCAAGGCTCTGAGAAGGAAAGTGGCTTACTTACAGTCGTACCGTAGTAGGGACTGGGCAGAGCTAGGAGTGACCCTTGTGGCTTCTAGCCCTCTCCCATGGCAGGAGGGCCAATGGGATCTAATACTGGCTCCCCACCTTGTACAACGCAGGCCTCCCTTCCTCAAAGATCCTCATTGAACTTGAAGAGGAAATTTATATTTTTTTTCTTCCTCTTCTTGCAGGACTTTATCACCCTTTTGGAGATTTAGGTCTGAGGCAGAGCCCCAAACAGGGAGCCAGGACTCCTCGGGCCCAGCTCAGGGGTGCCCCAGCAGGATGACTTGGGTTTCATTTCTTTGCCAGCTTCCTGGCACTCCCTGCCCTCAGAGGCCCCAAAGGGCAGTGTACAGGGTGCCTGGGAGCTCAGGTTCGTATGTCAGCTCTACATGAGTGACACGTAGGTGGGTGGTGACGGGCTCATCTGCCCTGCTTTGTAGAAGTAAAAATCCCATCTCAGGATTGAGTTGAGAATGTAAGTGCTCCATACATGGATGCTATGGCTACCTGGTCTTCAAAAACAAGGGCACATTTCTCATTCCTCCGGTCACTCCACCTGACTCGGTTGTATTCTCTGGACTTCTTCAACCTCTGCCACTCCTAATAAGTGGGCCGACCTCTCGCTTGTGCTCTCAGATTAAAGGCAGGGGTCAAGCTGAAATTTATACTTGCAGAAAGGTCAGACCTTTGCCTAGCTCCGGGTGTCACTGCCTGGGGAATGGGCAGGCTCTTCCTGTGCTCCAGAAAGACTGGACTGAGCTTTGCAGTATTCAGGGGTTCATACCTGCACCTTCTAAACAGCCTCCCCTGACCACCTTCCACTTGCATGTGGATGCACACCGTCCACCCAGGCCCCTCGTGAAGCACAACCGGTGGTACCAGGCAGGAGCTCAGTGAATGCATGTGCCCATTTTCTGTCCCGCAGCATTGATACTACGAGGTGGGTAGGATTCATTTATTCTTGTTTTCATACCATTTAGTGATTTCTCAGCACGCCTTCTGTGCTGGGCTTTGTAGGGTTATGCAGAATGAGTGCCAACTAGCTGTTCAGCACAGAGTTGGGCATTTTACGTAGAGTGTCTCCCAGAGTCCTTATAACTCTCCTGAGGATGAGATATGATAAATTATAACCCCATTTTACAGATGGATTCACTGAGGCTCAGAAGAAAGGCACATGTCAACTTTTAGCTCCCAACAGGGTGGGAGCTAAAAGTCCATTTAAGACAACAGCGAAAAGGACAGAATGAGGCTTTGTGGCTCCCAGCAGAGGTCGTGGTGCTAGGTAAGGGGGGCTGTGTGGGCTGGGGGTACTATGTGTCTCACCTCACCAAGCAGATAAGATTCCGGTAGGGGCTGAGGGATAGGTTGCTTTATTCTTACCTGTAATCCTCTCCTCTGCTGGTTATTTGCTGTGTGACGTTAGGCAAGCACCTCACCTTCTCTGGGCCTGTAAATTACTGCACACTCTCGTGTTGTCCATTTTTGCTTTTTTCTGGAAACTGGCGGCAGATCAGTTGTGTGCAGAAAAAAAAAAGCTGTTTATTGGTTCCAGTGCTATCTTTATCCTTCAAGGACTTCATAAGGGTTTGGGGGTGATGAGGAGGAGTCATGGCCTAGTACAAAGGGCCACTGCCATGTTGAAGAGTTACCACCGATTTGAGGATCAGGCAAAAATTTCTGTTTGTTCACGGAATGGTGCCAGGCAGGTTCTCATGGACTCACAGGCCCAGCCAGCATGATAGGCTGGCTTCATATGGATCTTTTTAGATACGAGAGTTAACAGTAAGATTCTTTTTTTTTTTTTTTTCACTTTAGAAAAAAATTGTACTTTAAGTTCTGGGGTACACGTGCAGAATGTCAGGTTTGTTACATAGATGTAAATGTGCCATGGTGGTTTGCTGCATCCATCAACAGTAAGACTCTTCATGAGAGGAGAGGGGTGAATGTGTGTTCCATTGCTAAATAAGAAAACTGATTTTTTAACAGCCAAGTAGATGATCCCTTCTGCTCAAGTTTCTTTTATAAGCACAATCTAGGTATTGAACCATCCTTGAATGACACCCCAGGGACGGATGCAGGGAACCCTGGGTTTTAGCTGTGACGGGAGAGGGTGCAGTGCTCAGTAGAGGATGTAGGGCAGGATCTTGAGTGTTAAAGGCTGTGTCCACAATTGCTTACAGGTCCATGAAATTGCTACTGCAGCCATCTGCTTACCTGGGCTTCAGGTGGAAGAGCCCCAAGCTTGTCCCTGAACTTTTGGGTCCTCTGGGTTTTACAAAGGGCTTTCCTGTCCTCCGGAGCAGTACCAGCACTGCCCTGCTGGTACTCCTGGGTCTTGGCAGTGGCTACTGTTGCCACCCCATTCCAGGGCTAAGGACCTGAGGCTCAGGGAGGGAGGAGCCTGCCCGAGGTGAGTAGCAGGGTCATCCCAGCAAGTGAAGGGGACAGTCTCCTCCTCCTTGGGCTGAGCGGGGCTTGGCCCCTACCCCTGTATGGGGCTTCATGCCAGGGGAACCCACAGTGGGGTTAAACAGAAAGGCCTCCTGGAGGAAGGAAAAGATTCCCAGAGTTCTATGCTTCAAGCCATTTTGGTAAAAAAAAAAAAAAACCTAATTAGAGGTGACAATGGTGACTTTGTCTGTGTGTTCACTTTTTCCTCCTTCTTCCCCACACCTCCCCCTGTCCCTCATTTGTTGTATCCATGGGAAAACTAGGTAACATTATAATTACTGAAAATATTGTGGGTACGTGGAAGCTGGGAGTGGGGGGAGCCTGAGTGCAGGAGGCCCTTTAAAAAAATTTTTTTTTTAGATTTTATTTTATTTTTTTCCTTTCGTTTGGAAACGGAGCCCTTTGCAGTCATGCTGTCACAGTTAAAATAAGGTTTAAATTACAGGCCAGCCCGTGGCTTTTCCCCTTTCTTTCAGAATTTTTGCCAACTTGCAATTTACTTAATGAAATCCTGCTATTCCGTTTAACAGGGATATTTTTTGCAGATGTTGATTTAACTTAGCTTTGCAAAATATGTGAACTGTACCGTTTCTTTTCCTATTTTTAACGGTTTCAGGATTCTAGTTCAGCAGCTCCACTGGCGCTGCCATGCCAACAGTGGTGTTTACTCCCATCCCTTGAAAATATTTGTTTTCCATCGTTCTGTCTGCCCTCCCCTCCGTCCCACATACCCGCAAAGGGGAGGGTCCTGTACACATGGCAGAATCTGCCAGTGGAGGTTGGACTGGTGGGGCCAGAAGGGATGCCAGAGTTTCCAGTAGGACACCAAATCCTCTTGGGTTTGAGGAAACCAAAGCCCAGTGTGGGGAATTAACTTGCCTAAAGTCACACAGTGAATTCGGGGCAGAGTGGTTTGCAGCATGAGCTGTGTCCCCTGCACAGAGATGAGCGGGGGCCGGTGGGAGATGCTACCCCTGTGGCTGTTTTGGCTGTTTCTCCTCCCTGGGAAGACCGCATCCT